ATACCATAATCTCTAACTAGTAAAATATGTAAATTATGCAATACCTAATGACTTATTGCACATTCATGCGGCTGATGCAGACAGCTTTTCAGTATGCCACAAACCTCCTCACACTGAGTGGATGGATATATGAGGAAAGCTCGAATTGCCACTGTTTTGATAGCGTGAGTCATTTATGAACTATCTGCATTTTAACAGAGTACAGAGTGGCTGAATAGCTGGACTTCCAGTTAATACGCTGAGGCTTAACTGGAATAATATGAAATTAATTATTAGCACAAGGTATGCACATTTAAATATGATTTACAGCGTGGTTAGTCCCTGTCTGTGGCTTTATTCCCTGCTGTGATACAATAATAGGAGGTGGCACCTCTCCAGCCGCCCTTCATTTACTGGAACTTACTTCACTCTTGGAGTGGAGGAAAGCTGGGCTCTTGCTTTTAATTCAAAGAATCTGATCTCACTTTCCACTATTTTTTTTATGGGCTGTAGATTAAGAGAACATCTGCTCAGAAAACTTTATGGCTTTGATCATCTTTCAGAATAAAATAAAAATAAAACAGTAGCAAAGTTTTGCAGACTACCCGCCATCTTGCATTCTGGTTAAAAAAAATGAGGTTAGGTCGGTCAAACTATTTTATAAGGGTCACTATTTGCCTGTACAATCGTTTTCTGTGCAGCCACAACTTGCATTGGGGTTCACTAGGAGTGCAACATTTCATAGAAACTTGATTATTGCAATGGTAAATGTTAACCAAATGGCCCTCTAATTTTAAATTGTGGCACTGCAAGGCAATATTAGAAAAAAAGAGCAAGTAATTTAAAGCTGCCTATAATAACTAGAAGATTTAAAGTGTATGTACGGAGGAAAATAATAATTTTCCTCACTGTATATTTAAAGCTATCGGCTTTAGTTTTGGATAGAGAAGGGAAGGATTAAAACCCCTATCAGGTTATCTTTTTGCTGTTTACTTGCCGAGGAGATTTTCCTTCACTTCCTGTTTCATCCTCAAGGCTCACTCTGATGAGGTATAATGTGGACATGGTGATGCCAATGCTGTCATGCACACTCAGTAAATGCCCCATGTGCTCCAAGATGGAGACTCTCATAGTTTAAAATTAGGAACACACTATATGGAGGTGCCTTGGCACGGCATTTGCGACTTTCACATTTTCTGCAGAAGACGTGTATCTAAACCTCTGTTTTTAATCTTAGCGGTGAGACAAGTTTTTTTGCATGCTGGCTTGTGAGTATGCTAGGAAACTTTTTGCTATTCCTCTAGTCGAGATTGCGGTCTGATCCGGTTCGCGACCAGAATTGTGAAACAAATTATGTTCGTGAACCAAGGTACTACTGTAATACTTCCTTTTATGCCATTTCCTGTTTATTTTTTAGGCATTTTTATTGTCTAAATGGTAACTAGCAAAAAAGACTAGTTATTATTTAGTAACTAGCTAGGGTTATGGTCAGGGGTTAGGTTTTAGGGCGGTAATACACTACATTTTAGTGCACTGTGAGGTGACAACGCAGTATCATTTTATAGCTATACAAATTAGCCCAATGGGAACACAGCTCCACCTAATTGTGAAGCCATAACTCCAGACATTTGTTTTGCATTGGTTGGAAAGAAGCATTACAATGTCTGTCAGGTTTTTAGTTCTTTCCTACTGACATGAAGGAAAAGCTCACAAGTGGGATGTCAAAAAACCATTGAAGACTTTTAAGTCAATTCTTGTGGCTGTAAAAATTTGTTGTGATCTATTGTATAGTGAAATCATATTGGAAACTTGTATTAAGGTTTCCTTGGGGAATGTTGGCCCTTTGACAATTAACAGTAACAATGGCTTTCATTGATGGCACAGAAGGAAGTGATTATTTTTCTTATCTCAGCTAATGTAACCCATAAATATAGATTGTTGCATTCTGTAAAACCTCATTAAACAGTGAACACATTGTACTGCTGGTTACCAACACGAATGTGCAGGATGAAAACCAGAATGGAATTGTCAACCTCATCCCTGCCCATTTCACAGCTGTCTGCAAAGTTCCTCTAAAATCTGCCCATGTTTAAAATGTTTTTTTTTTCTTTTCTGGTTTAATTGTAGCATCAGCCGAACCCCTGTTTATAAGTAATTGGCTCAGTTCACAGAGCTGATGAACCACAATAAAAGATGCTTAATTTTTTTTAGAAAAGCAAAAAGGTATTGTCATCGAAGTCCAATGAGAATTGAGAGTTTACTCAAATGGCTGAAAACTAGAATCCTTATCCTTGGGTAAAGGCCCCATATCCTCTACACAAGGCATTCAGTATTTGACACACACCGTCACATACAGTATGTTCCTAGTGGAGACTACAAGGGGCCATACTGACAACACTGCAATGGCATGGTCTACTGTTGTTAATATCAGGCAAGCTGATCCTGATAAATTATGTGCAGCCAACACTGGAGTAAGTGCATGTAGACAGGAAGTGACTTAAAAAGGCTGGAGATCAGAAGTGCTGAGATGGGAAAAAAGGTGGAAACAGTATTTAACATTAAACCATTGCAGTTGTTTATGATACACAGGGGCATTTATTAAAACTGGAGTAGACAGAGTTTGGAGCAGTTGCCCAGAGCAACCAATCAGCTTCTCTCATCAGAACGTTCAGTTAAGCTTTGAAAACCAAAGAGAGAAGCTGATTGGTCACCATGGGCAACTGCTCCAGTTTTGATAAATTCCCCTCATTGTATTTTAGCATACTAAATGTCATACATTAATGACGTTTCCCAATAACTGCCTGTACATACATTGGACTCATAACTGCACTGTAAATTAAGGAGACATAAAAAGAAAAACAACAATATTTGTATATAAAAAGAAAATATGTTATTCACATGCTCATTCTTATTTTGTATGCGATTACTCTTTCGGCTTCCATCCGAATAAAAAAACAAAACATATTCAGTACCAAGATACAGAAGAAACTTGACGTTTTATCCACACAAGCTGGGCAGTCGGTCAGTATATAGAATCAGTGTAGAATAGCCGGTCATGGGGTCGGTTTACTAAAGGAAGAAAGGCTGTACACTTTGCAAAGTGATTAATCTTGTGTGAGTGTAAATAAATGATTAAAAGTGGAACTAAAACCTTGAATATATTGCTGGCCAATAGGCTTCTACTGCAGAAGAGAATTTGCATGTCTCTTCTGCCGCAAAAACAATTGCCTTACCTGCCTGCAATGTAAGCCGATCCGTGTAGGCCCAGCTTAGTGTACATTCTTGGCATGCGGTGGGTGCTGCTATGAATTTACTTGAGTGCAAGTGCACAATAATTACAGCATCCCAGGCTTGCCAATCAAGATGGCCGGAGATGCTGAACTTGGGAAAAAGACTAGGCGGTGGCCACAAAGCAGTGAGGATGATTGCAGGCACATCTGCCATAATGTTCAAACATGGTGTGCATCTTTGCACATTATGGCAGAAGGACCCAGGCGGTGGACTTTAGTTCTACTTTAGGCTAGCACATTATTGGTTAATTGAACGGAGTACGGCTTTATATGATTTACTACACTCTGAACATTCACTGTCAAAAGTCTCTGCTATGGAGACACTGTCACCTGTCCATTCAAGGCAAAATGACAGCATCTCTTGGTAGCCAATCGCCCTGCCAAGATATACTGTAGTCCTCCATCACATCTCCAGGAAACCATCCTGAGTAAGATCTTGTATTGAAGCGCATCCAAGTGGATGACATCACTGCCCTCCTAAACGTAAGTGGCCACCCAGCACTGTCATATGGTGGAAGTCTTATGCTAACCTACACGAACAGCCCCCTCCATCACAGCCACAGAGAGTGGACTCCGATGGAGCAGGGAGGTGGTAATTGTAGATAGATGAGTGCACATTGCTCAGGGGTGGGCTATTAATCAACCCAATAGCATGTGAAGATGTTAGGCCTCATACTTCTTAGCAGCTGCGTACCCAAGAAAGTGTTTGTAAAGGTTTATGTTTAATGATACAAGTGATAGTTATATAATTGTATGCCTCTTTTTATTCTTAATTCTTTCATCAGATCGATTCCACCAAAAAACTGAAATGTAAGTTGTGTGTGGTTCCTAGCAAATCCAGGTGAATGCTGGCTTCTTGGACTTCAATGCAAAAAATATCCCCAAACAAATTTCCCAATCCCAGTCAGAGTCATGCTTACTTAAAAGTTTCTTCATTTCACAGAACAATCCAAAATGGATAAAGGCAGTCCCCGGGTTATGAAGAAGATAAGAAGAAACCTACAGTCCTTAAGTTGAATTTGTATGCAAGTTGGAACAGGTACATTTTCTTTTCAAGTTTTGGATAGCATAGGGAAGGGTTAACCCCCTTATAACGTTTGTTTTGCTGTCCTCACAGTGGCTCTAACCCCACACCATACTAACCAAAACTAAAAAAATAAATTTGCATGGAGTCCTACTTTAAATGCAACTTGGATAGAGGTTTGTACAACTTTCTGTAATGTAATGTACTTTGGCCTTTACTGTACCTTGTTTGTACATCTAACAACTTCCTGTAATATACAGGAGGTACAGTACTACGAACCAGACCCACTCCTCGTCTGCACATCTAACTTCCTGTAATGTACAGGATGTACAGTACAATGGTCGGCACGAGCACGGCAGCATTACAGCTAGTGGAACTGTCTAGGACATCCGTTTGTAAGGAGTCGTACGTAACTCGGGGACTGCATGTATACTAGTTTTGAAGTGGAGCGAACCTTTTAATTTATAGGTCCAAAGGCAAACCTTTTTTCTTTTTAGTTGAATTAGAACCTTTGTTGGGTTTTCGTGCCAACCAGGGATCTGGAAGTGAGTGTTTATTTCTATCTGTGTTGCTGATGGAGACTGATGGCACCCAGATCCCTACAGGGGTTCTAAATCCTCCCCCCCTCTATCTAAAAGTAAAAAAAAAAAAAAAAAGGCTGAATATTCACTTCAAGGAACAAAACACAATCACAGATTTTCGGTACGATTTTTATTTTGCTCTTAAATGTCAAAAAATTACTGTCAAGAGACAGGAATGCATGAGATAGAAATGGCTCAAACATCTTCACATGAAACACGCATATTCAAATTTCATTCACAAGTTTTGAATCCGACATCTACAGTTACATAGTTAAAACTTTTCCATTCATAAATCACAATTTTTTTTTTTCTTTAAACAGTAGTTGCCATTACATAAGCAACGAACAACTTACTGCATATTATTAATTTCATAAATTCCGTAATATTTCGTTGAGTAATAGCAACTTGTTTTTCTAAAATTTTCCCAACAACAGTGTATTTAGACCTACATACCATGTTTTCTCCCCGATAAGTTGGGGCTCACATATAAGGGCACATGAATTAATGCTTCTGCTAGGTTTGCTCTTTGTTCCATTTGTAGCTCAGCTGAAGTCTGACAAAATCTGTCCTATTTCCTGATCACTATAACTCCTGATAATCTAGAAACGCTCTGCATACTTACACAGGGTTCTCCTCCTGAAGCTGCAGCCGGGACTAATCTGAACTCAGAGCTGTCATGTCCAGGGTTCACCTGCAGATGAAACCTGGTATTCTGGTATTTATTCTATAAAACTTAAGGCATCTCTGAGGGTACGGTGGTATTTTTATGGCTGGACTATAACAATCTCTGCACATGAAAGTGGGACGAGCTCCTGTTCCTTTTACAGGGAATTGTAAGAGGTGAGGGCACCCAAGGAATTTCCATTTTTATGGGACTCTCTTTTTAAATGGACAGCACTGTAATTTAGAATTTTTGTTGGTTGAAGTGTGAAGTTTTAACTTTGGCTACTGTGTCTAAGCTGTAGACAAACTATTTCTTAACAAGCAGAAAATTAGCTTTTAAACAAGTCCTCACTGACCTCAGTGGCTGCAGGTACAGTGGAACAATTCATCCTTAAAGATCACAACAAATACTCTGAGGTGGGGGGTCACAGTTTACATCAGAAGTTTAGAAGGCCACCAAGTCCCTGCTGTAAGAAAAAATAAAAAGGAGAGAAACTTAAACTGCAGCGGCTCTGTCAAACCTGTAAGATGCTTTTCTCCACATGGCCTGCAGCTACGGAGGTCCATGAGGGCTTCTTTTATAAAGCTCAATTACTAATTGTGAAGCATTTGTAAACATACTAATGTCCATAGCCTTTGCCACACATTCACTGTTTGAGTGTAACCATGGCAGTGCTTGGATGTGAGATTCTGAGACCGTTCTAGAAAGCATCAAAGTTCTGAGAAGCTGCTGGAATGAACTACGAAGCGTCACTTGTTTTATTCCCTCGATCCAGCTTTCTTTGTGCAGTTCCACTTCATTCAGTTGTTTGATCAGTCACTCTCAGCATCATCTCAAGAAGGAATGCCAGTTAATCTGACCCTCTATAGGCTACCCTCCTAGCACCACCATCGTATACAAAATGGACACAACTTAAACTCCACAATTGCACTGAGATGCTCATCCGTGGATCACAATGGTTTCTATCTCCCCTACCCTTCCACCTTGTGACATGATGGTCCACAATGGGCTTCAGCAACAAGTTTTTACATTAACTGCCAATTTGAAAAGAAAAAAAATGATTACATTTATCAGAGTACCTTTAGATTACTAGAGGATTCCCTAATCTGCTTAAATCCATGTGTATTCAAATAATAAATCCTGTATGTATGTTCAAGCAGATTGGTGCAAACTGTGCCCATCTGGATTGCTGAGCATCCATCATCCACCTGGTTCACAGGTTCCACTGACTTCTGTTTCAAGACTGGTAAGTGGAACACAGCGCAAATGACTCTCAGACATGCCCGTATCTACATCTCCATATAAAAATAACATTTCCTTAATTAATCCTTATACCCACACCAGTCTGCTCTGTTAAGGATATAGTATGTAGCACATGTTAAATACACATCTTGTTTGGAAAAAGTATATATATATATATATATATATTATTCCCTCAACATTCTGAGGCAATTTTAGAACCACTGTAAACAAGTAAGTATATCCTTGTAAATCTTCACATGTACGTGTACCTACCTCCTGCACACACACAGTAATAAAGATGTACATATATATCTATTGACACATGCACATGTCATAACTTGACTGTAGATACATCTGTGTACATTATATCCTTTGGGCGGTCATGAGTCTAATGGCATTGCAAAACCTGATCAGCTGATCTGTAGCGATACTCCTGAGAAGGTACTGAAAGGGAATGACAATTTTTTTGGATGCACTTTGGAATGGCGCAATGACGTAAACGTTTGCACACTTAAGACTTGTGCATTTAACAAGAAAAAAAAACGAGAAAAAAAAAACAACTAAACTTACCTAAAATAATAGAACAAACTTACATAAAATATTGGTACTAAAATATTCACAAGTATAAAGGATTTTTTTTATTTTCCTAAGGAGACCGATCGTGTGTGAAATGCATTGATTTTGCTGAACAATTGTACGAAAAAGATGTTAACTGCTGTAATAAACCTAAGCCTGATTTTTTTTAATCAACAATACAATTATAAATTTAGAAAATAAAAAAAGTTTTAGAAACGCCAAGCACCATATTTGTTTGAGCAGTGTTTTTTTTTTTTTTTCTTGCTTAAAGGGGTCAGTCCATGCAGAATGGATATCTCAGCCGCTGGCTTGAAATCTCAAGTTTGGTGGGACAGTTTCTGCTCTGTGGTTCCAGGTTCAGGCCAACTTCTATTAGGTTATTATAACAGATTTTCACAATTTGTCTACAATTCTTTATTTTAGAATATGCAGTAAGGCGCATGATATTGTAGGTGGTCAGAGCCAGGAACTGATTAAAGTTCTAATTTTTGACTGACCCTATAATAATCTCCACTGTAATAACAATTCTCGTTTCCCCCAATGCAGTTATTGCCCATTCACACCTGAGTGAATCTACAGATCTCTGGTAGTTGAATTAAACTGGCCATACATAAGGAACTCCTAATTGCCCATTTGGGATCCATTGGATCGCTAATAGATCCTATCTGACTTGCTGGAGATCAGGTGGGCTACCATCATAGCTTGTTTCAGTAGGAGATTCAACAATGGTGGAAAATCAGCAATTTAGCTCAACCTCCGACACTGGGAGGTTATCTCCTTTAACGGCTAGTACCTTCTATATAGCGAGATGGCTGCATAGCTGTGCCGAGAATTGTTCGGCCAGAGCATCGAACCTACATGTATGGCCAGCTCTAAGATCCCCTTAAAGAAAGCTTGGTCAGGTCAAAGCCAGATCAAATTAGGTAAGCTGCTATTATAGTTATTAAACAAAAACAGTCCTTAAGACAGGTAGCAGCACCTAGGACAGACTTCTTATGGCAAACGGTCGTTAGAGTTTTTGTAAGAAAATTGCATAGGCATTGCCCAAAGTGATTAAGCACAGTTTTCAAGATCCGAAAACAATCACCTATGATGGATCGTCCTTTGGCCTTTACCATATGCACCTAGATAACACCTTCGCAGAACGCATTTTATTATTTTTATAAATTTTATTCTTCACTTCCTTAAATCTTATATTGACCCAGTTTAAACCCTACAAAATATGTACAACACACCACTTAGTGACATCATTTCCTGAAATCTACCATCTACACTTATTTTTGTGTTTTTTTTTACGTGTTTGTCCAACTTCCAGCTTTGGCTTTATTCTGTAGCCCATGGCAGGGGCTTCATGGACGAAACCAACTTAAATCGCACATGTATGGTATGAACATCCATTCAAAAATACTCTTGCTTGCTATTTAAACCCTCTTCCCATGACGAAAGCTCACACACCATGTATAGAAATGAAAATAAGAACCAATAGAATTAGGTGTTAAGACACTGGTGAATCTTCTCCCTGGGATTCTGTTATGGTAGGAGACTCTGTCATCTCCTCGTTTGTTTCACTAGAAGGCTCTTGCCCATTTGTCTCCAAGGGTTCTTGGCTGCTTTCTTCACTCTGCACCTCGTTTTGTTCCTCTGTGCCATCTGGTACAAATTCTGCTTCTATGGCATCTACTGTTGGAGCTGCTGGGGACTCCACTGGAGTGCTGTCCTCCTGACTGGCTGGAGGTGTCTCAGAAGTAGGGGAACTTTCCTGAACTACTTTTTCAACTACAGCTGGCACGCTGGCAGGACTTATTTCCACTACATTGTCATTTTGAGAGAGTGACACTTTTTCAATGAGTCTCCACTGCATGATGCTCATGTCCTTTCCTCCGGTTGAGATCAGGTGGCCATCGCTGTGTGTGAAGCTGACATTGGTTACATGGCTGCTGTGGGCACTGTACTTGTGACTAGGAGCCTAGAAAACAGGAAAGAGAACAGTAATTGGATTAAAAGATCTGGAAAGTTATACGGTTTAAGAAATGTCTTTCATTATTCTGATTGTTCTAACTGGATATAAGTTAAAAATGTGATGGTTGTTGAGGGTAATTGTAAAGTAGACATCAGTGTTTCTTGCATTGCTGTATGAAAGGAGTAGTTAATCAGTCATAAAAAGTAGGGGGGTTGCCATTGCTGAGCCTTTTTGAACATGCAATGCATGGTTGTTTAACTTACTCTCACTTTAAAAAATTTGTAATGGACCTTTCAGTAATTTTACAAATTTGCAGGAATAACTTCATGACATGAAAAACATGAAAAAAAGCTCCACATTGTATATAAAAAAAACAATAACATCCTTGAGCTCCAGTCAAGTCACTTTGTCTATGCTGAGAAGATGTCATCAGGTATGCAGCAGGCAGGAAGAATTTCCTTAGTCTCTAAATTAGTTGCTACATTTTAACTTTGTAGCAAGGTGAGAAGCTGCACAAATGGCTAATCTGTGTCAGAGATTCCTGAACACAGCCAAGAACTGCACAGGCACATATGGAGTCGAAGCTTTGCAGTACCTTTCCAGATGACAGCAGGAACCTATGCAGTGAATGCACTTATTAATGCTCAGTAGCTAGCCACTGTTGAAAACAAACCTTAAAAGGAGAGCTATGGGGTTAAGGCTTTTCCCCATAGTTCTCCTTAGGGTAACGGGAGGACACAAACTAGCGTCCTCCTGTCACCCTAGGCTCAGTATACCACGAGCTGTTGCTCGCAGTATACTGAGACGCTGCAGCTGAATCGGATCCCGACAATTATGTCTGGATCCGCCCAGCTGCGTGACTGACAGCTGGCTCTGCCTATCTAGAGGCACAGCCAGCTGTATCCACCCCCTCCCCCGTCCGTTCCGCCAGCCAGTTGTTTTGCAACTTGCGTCAAAACGCCTAGGAGTGAATGGGGCCATTGAAGTAAAAGGGAATTTATGTACTGAGCACTTTGTCGCACATGACGCCTAGGTGTGAATGGGGCCTTATAGTAATAACCATTACAACTGTAAAAGTGACAACTTATGAAAACAGGCAGCACCATGGATGTCCTTACCTTTGGTTTGGAGCATGGATACTGAAACAGATGGACCTTACAGAAGTCATCAGCTAAGGCAATAACCTTTCGGTTGTGAGAGCGCACTAATGCATTAATATCTGTGCCATCTGACCCTTCTGGCCACACTCCTGGAATGTCAGAAGAAGAGTTTTAATTTGTGTCAATCACAAAAAAGCTTAACATGCTACAGTAACAATATGATACAAAAGGTGTTGTGTAGGCTGAAGCAAAGGAACATTATGGGTTACATTAAAAAAAACATGTCATGAATGAAACACAAGGCTATTTACTGCTGACCTCTTATGGAAAATGCTGGTTCTCTGGCTTCAATACTTCCCAAGTCACAAACCCATAACAAGTATGCAGATCAGGAAAGTCATAGAAAGGATTTTCTTATTTGAATACTTGTTTGTGATTAGTGAGTCCACATAAGTAAATTCACTTCTGCAGGACTACCATGCAACTGGCATTTCCAGAAGGAAAGTAAGTAAAAAATGGCAGCTTCTATGTTTTTCTACTGACAAGTTGTACTTTAAAATCTAGAGATTTGCATTGCACTCATCGGTATCTATTTTATAACTGTATGCAATGCTTTCTACATCTGTCACGGTGGTTCATATCCTGCTATTGTTGCTGCTATCACTATATGTAAAAATGAATCAACTAGAGAGCAGCAATGATCCACTCTAGAATTCAGCATGAGTTCAACTTCCCGTTCAGTGCACTGGATAAAATGCAGTATACATTGAAAGGAAAGCCTATTAAATAAATGATGGTATGCTTCTGTTGAGGCTTAATATATGCCTTAAACTGGACCTACTCAGAAAGTTAAGAATGGCTGTCTTGTAGGGAACATCTTCAAATGCTGATTGTGCCTAAGCAGTAACGTGAAAAATGCACCTTTTTTCTTGAACACCTGAAAAATAGCAGTGTACTTCTTGTGTTTTCAGCTTCTTTTTTCTTGAGGTTCTCTTAAGGTGACATTAGTGGTCTATTCGGCCTGCAGAAGGCCTATATACATGGCGGGCAAGGGGGTACCTTATGCAGTCCATAGAAGTGATGGGGCAGCTTTACAGCCACACAATCTCTTCCAGTCTAAAGCTGAGAGTCCGCTGCTGTGGCCATATGGAATATGGTGGTGGCAGTGAAAGGGTTAAATAGGATTTAGTGATGTCACAAATGTACTGTTCACGGTTTTCCTTGTTGGAGACAAAGCTGTACCCCAGGACCTGCAGTGCAAGAATCCCCCTGTTACTGCTTTATTTATCTGCACTTTCTGCACCTCTCCTGCTTGAATATAACTCCATCAGTCATCAGAAGGGCATCTCTGCCATAAGTAAACCACTTCTACCAAGATGGCAACCTCCAACACAGGAACACAGTGCAGAAAAAAGGTATGGTAAGTCAGTAATGGGGAAAAGATCAGCTGTAAAAAGACCACAGGTAATACAACTAGTCCTTTGTTCCTCTGCCTGCCTTTTATTTGGCACAGATTCTGCAATTCAGGTCGTCATTAAAGACCCTTGCAATTATATAATTAGATGACAAGATTGTGAATTTCTCACAACCCTAAGGCCCCGTTCACATTGAGCGATTTATGGCGCGGTAATTCCCGCGATATCGCGGCTATTTACTGCGCGATATCGCTCTCCAATGCAAGGCAATGGGGCAAAGGGTCCTGCTGTCGCGTGTCGCTACAGCAGGACCTTTTTTGGAGCGGATTTTGCCGCAATTCCATTCTTTGCAATGCAAGCATTTGCGCGATATCGCGCAAAATGCAAATCGCGCAGTGTGAATGGGGCCTAAAATGTTTACTGCTGCGATTACTGAAAAGAGTAAATATTAGTAAAACCAGGAATATTTTTGTATTTTTTAGAAAAGACTTTAGCAATGATACAATGGAATACAGGGATAAAGGTATTCGTTAATACTGACCAAAGACTTGAAATCCTAGCACACAAGTGTAAGTTGTCCAGTCAATGTTTTTGCAGTCTGAACGATTCCGAATTAATTTACAACCACTTGGAATGTCCCCTGGCCACAAGAAAACACAGTTAATACATGGAAAAAACCTGTATGGTTACAATGTTGCAGAAAAAGAACTCTGTAGAGAAAGTGGAAAAGCTCTATGCTTGCCCCCACCCCTGCTGTTTCGCTGATGTGTCTTGTTCAGACACCTACCTCCAAGGCTACCAGCACAGATTTCCTTCACACAGCAAGTCCGCCTGACAGAAACCCAATGGTTTCCAATGTGCGCAAAAGGAAGACCACTCTTAAAAACCTCTGAAAATTGTCGAATTTTCGAGGGCAGCCAAAGAAAGTCAAGCAGCTGAGTGGCCGGAGTTCAGAAGACACACACAGCAGCAAGAGGGGGCAGTAAAAATGGTGTTATGAGAACAAAGATAATAAAAGACTTCAGGTGATGTTCACAAAAAAAGTCTGCACTGAGCTTCTCCAAAAGGAAAAAATCTTGCAAAAAATATTGGCGTAACTACTACTTTATATAAAAGGGAAGGGTTTTTTTTGTGTTTGCTTTATTTATTATGGCGGCTCTTTAACCACTTGCCTTCCAAAACAATATCTTAATTTTTGCATACACATGATCAAATCTGAATTTTTGGGGAGAAAGCGAATTAAGTAATACACATCAATTCTGGGTTCAGTGATCGGAAGCATGCTGATCTCCATCTGATCAGGGTGCACAGGCCTGCTGTGCCAGTCCCAGGCCAGCACAGGGGACAGTGGAGCCCGGGATAGCCGGCAGTGGAGAGGGGGGCACACACTCCCCAGCTCCATAGAAGCGATCGAGCAGTTCTATAGCCGCTCGAACCCTTCTATGTGTCAACCATAGCTGGCTGTAAGTAACAATACCTGCAGCAGCTGTGATCTTGGTATGACTACTTCATGATAATGCCGTTTACATATGCATGGCAGTCCTGAAGCAGTTAATGTTAAAACAGATTTTACCCTAGAAAAGTTCATAGAAACATAAAACTTAACTTTACAAAAAGAACTGAAATTTGTGCATAAATTGATCTTGGTTTTTCTTAAATATTTTAGTACTTACAGTATAATATTTCATAGTCTCCTGAGTTTGACATAATGTATTTGTTGTCTGGGGACCAGTCAAGGTGTGTAATATAACTGGAATGTCCCTGAAAATGGAAAAAAAGTCAATAACGTTCACTAATATTTTTTATACAAGTGTACAGCTGTCACGGCTGCTAAATGTTATAAGAAACAGGCATATGACTGGTTTGGGGAACTTAGCAAGCAGGACATTTCTTGAAAAATAATTTTTGTAAAAGTTGTAGACTTAAAACAGGAGCATGGGCAGTAAGACATACCTCAGTTAAGCACAGATTGGTGATTAGAAGGCAGAGTGTTCAATTCATTTAATACTAGTGAAGTCTGATTGAGGAGACACATGGCACAGAAAAATTTGTGCACAGTTGACATACTGCTCATCCAGCTGCACGCAAGTATAAAAAAAGGCTACTACATCCGTACTACAAAAGAACACTAGGGTAATCAAAGGGATCCAGCTGGTCTTGATGTAGAAGGTCCCTCCCTTCCAATCCTCCTCTTTATAGGAACCAGACTAAGAAAACGTAAAGTGCACCTACGCCTAAACATTAAACGATTTACATATTGTTAACAGGCAGTAAAAGAGCTTTAAAAAAAAGCCCTCATTCACCTCTGTACCTGATTTTAACGTGAAGTTAGTCAAAGATCCTCTACAATCACAACAAAGACTCTATAGACTCATCAGAGGGCTGGCAGGCTGCCAAGATTCTGTTCTACTAGAAGGAAAACTCTGATTTCAAAGCCTTTGTTGTCAACTTTGAAAATTAATGTTTCCACAATTCTTGCAGAGATTAATTAAGGAATTGTTTTAAAATGCTTTTATTGCTTTGCCAGAATATGTAAACACTTTAGTGTGCATGGTCTGGGCACTGATTCCCTATAAACTGTTTAAAAAAATAAAGTCGCAACCATTTAGGGTTCAATTTTAGCCCAACTACTTTATGTAGACTGCCCGAACAGGTTTACTTCAAGAGCTGTGGCTGCAAAAGGTGAGTAAGATAGAGTTGGGAACACAAACAAATAAACAGCTACACTGGTACAGTAAATACACCATTCTTCTATGGGCCCTGCAAGTTCCTAAAGAACACAAGGCTTGCACTAGGTGGCACCATGGAAAAAGAGCAATGATATACATGAAGCAACAATGATGGATGCCCAATAGGGTACAGAGGCTCCCATCAGTAGTTGTACATTCTGCTGTTGCCCAGGGGTCATATACCAGTTATGTGGGCAGTATTCTTTGTTTCCTGACAGTCTTACTTATTTAAGTGAACCCGTCAGGGAATATGAATCTCTGAAATCAAAAGTCCTCACAGAGGGTTGTGCGGAGTGTCTACTCTTACATTAGTTAACCTTAAAAGATTTTATTGTGGACAATAAAAGTGGTTGCATACAAGTGTCAAGGCAAAATTACAGTACACCTGCATGTTTTTTTCTGACTATTTCATATCTGAATGGATATCAGTTTCTTTTGGGAGCTGGAAGTGGCCATGGCCTGAGAAGATTACCTTTACACAGAAAGATCTCTCTCCATGGTATGAATTTCTGTAGAGCTCGTTCACACTATGTCCTTAGACCTGTGTTTCTCGGCAACAGAGCAACAAAGCTCTCTGCAAGGGCATATCATAATATTTGTCTATTTAAACAAAATGTTTTGCCCCGTTCACACCAAAAGAGAGTGGGGAGGTTCAAAGCAGATATGTGTGGAAAATGCAGCATGTCTGCATTATTCTGCACCACACCAGAGCTCCCCTGAAGTCTACTTCTTTGCAACACAGAGTATAAAATCAGTGCCTTGCATTGTTAACCGATTGCCTTGCATTGTAAAAAAGGTGCCTTGTGTTGTAAACAGGCGAGGCACTGCCCCAAACCACTGACACGCAGACATGTGCCCACATGCGAACACTTCTTTAACAATTGTTGTTTTAGCGTGCAAGTTGGTGTGAAGGAGCCATAAGGGAGAGCTCGCACAGGTGATTTTTACCACAGCGATCATTTCCCAGGATCACCCCATAAGTAATCACTAGCAATCACTATACATGCAGTTGCACGTAGTACAAATGTTACTATTTACTACTAATGATTACCTTCCACTACATGCTATACTTCATTGTTCCATATGTGTAGTAATCACTAGTGAATAATTGAGGGACATTTATCGGGGATGATCAGTTTAGTAGAAAATGCCTGTCCAGTCTTGTAGTACTATTTATTTACTTGATGCTCCTCAAATGGAATTATGTTGTAAAAAGAGTTGGACAGATTCTTGTACATTCTACTCACAGTGCATTTTCCGTATCTGCCATATTTTCTTCCATTCTCGGAGACATTGTAGAGGTAAATGAAATTGTCATGAGATCCCACTGCAATCAGCGTTCCGTCTGTTGAAACACAAGGAAAGCAATATGAAACCATGAAAATGACACATGGGAAAAAAAATCAAAAGAAATATGGTGAAATACACATGAGACCTTTACCTGTGTCCCGTGTTGGAGAGCAAAATGACAGGCAAAGTCCAATCATGCAAACAATTTACATATAAACACACTTCATGTACATTGCCTACCTCATAAGCATCTCTAATTCATTCCCTTGCACCTGGCTGCCATGTTAACACTAACTCATCTTCAGCATTGGACTGTCTCTTTGGCTCTAAATCATCTTCTACATATGGCTGCCTTGTTGGCTCTAACTTATCCTCTGCGCCTGGCTGCCTCACAGGCTAAATACCTGTCGATTTTGATATCTTTACTTTGAGTGGCCTCAAATATCAGTACCTCCTCCTCATACCTCCTTCTTTCAAGGGCAACTTAGTGTGTTTTAGGTGCGCTGAGATGCAGCTTTACGTTTCTCAACTTCCTAAGTAAACTTTCTACTTTTTGTGAAAGGCTAGAACAAAAGTAAAGCATTTTTACATCCATTACCTCTACCACTTATGGGTCCGTGTACTTAAACAGCAATAAGCAGGATTTAAAAAAATGACCACATAAAAATGTATTGGAGAGAATTGTCAGAGAAGAAAACAAATGTTAGCTGTGTGAATGAAGCCTAAAAGATAGAAAGTCTTGTTAGTTTACCTTTCAGATAAGAGCCGGCCCGTAAAGATCCGTGCAGCATGCCCGGCTGCATCTGGCCAGCCCTGGGAAGGACAGGTGCTGCATGTGATTGTACGCAGCAGCCTGTTCTTCTCTATGGGAGTACGTGGCCGTACGCTCACCCGAACTGTACATCGGTGCGGGTGTCCGTGCTCGGATGCAGACAGGATACATCCTGTCTGCGTCTGAGCAGTTCGGGTGAGCGTACGGCCATGTACTCCCATAGAGAACAGGCTGCACCTGTCACACGCAGCACCTGTCCTTCCCAGGAACGGCCCGATACGGCCGTGCACGCCGCATGGATCTGTACGAGCCGACACTTGGCTGTGTGAATGAGGCTTTAGCCGTCACAATGTGTCCTGGATATAAAAATTGTTCACAAGTCTAATTTACTAGTAGACTTGTTTTAAACTTTACCCAAATCTTTCAGCAAAGCTACAGAGAAACAGATCACCAGAAGAGAAAACTGGCAAAACATAGCTGTCAGCAATATTGACCATGAACAGCATTGCTCATGTGACTCCAGGCAAACAAGTATACAGTTCAAAGACCTGTGTTTACTATTTTACCCTCCAGAGAGGATTTCCGATTTTGGCAGGCCAATCTTGGATTACACGCGCCTCTTCCTCTTATAGTCAGGAACAGCTATTTCCTGATTTTACATCATGGAATCCTGGATCAGCTCCCAGCTCATTGGACAAAAGTGACAATACTAATTCACTGTCCAATTATCAGGTTGGAGACGGAAAGGTAACAGCAGCCACCTTGCAGATCCAGAAAGATGAATCACTTGCAAAGCGCAAGAGATGTGTAAATCACAAGACTGCCCGACTAAAATTACAATTTCTTTGGCAGGTAAAACATTAAAATGTAGGTAAACCCCAATTCTATTTTTTCAGTATGGTTTAGCTCTCCAAGCACTTTGCAACTTTCTCACACAGGGAAGAAACTCCCATAACACCAGCAAATGTTTTCATTCAGCACATCTCAAGCTGTATTTCTAACCTCAGACAGTCAACTTGTCAAATTATAAACCCGTTTTTCCCCTCGGAAATGTTTTGGAAAGTAAGCTGAGACACAGCCAGTGACCTGGACACAATGTTACAATTAGCAATTATTTGCTATCAGACTTCTTGTAAGGGAGTCACTCACCAACAGAATATCGCATCACAGAGAGTTGCTCATTGCCATCTGTATGTATAGAAACCAGATCTCGCGTCTCTGCATCCAGAACAAACCATCTACAAACACAAGGAAGAGCAACTGTAAATGTGAAGGGCAAACTCATCTATGTATATTCTTTACATGGATACTTATAACTTTTTGGAAATTTTCATGCTTAACCATTTGCCGTCCGCCCGTTGTAAAAAAACGGACGGACGGCACTGCAGCATTGGTGGGTTGCCGTCTGCAGACGGCATTTTTTTCTGCGGGCGCGCACGTACAGAAAAGACCCGAACAATGCAAACACCCGTTACCGGGTGTTTCACATATAGACGATCGGTGGCTCCATAGCCCGCCGATCGTCTATATGTGCTCGTTTTTTTTTGACCGCCACCCACCCACGCCGCCGTTTTTTTGCAAAACCCCCGACCCCTCACCTTCAATCCCGGGATCCGCTGCCCCATCTGCGGCCCGGGACCGGCTCGGGAGGGCGTCAGGAGGAAGAGGGAGAGAGATCAGCTTCTTGCTGTCTCCCTCCGGGCTGTGAATGCAGAGGTGATGTGTATTACATCACTTCCGCATTCACCTGTCAGTCATCTGGCTGCTATAGCCGGAGAAAAGAAGCTGATGAAGCCGATCTCTGCTTCATCAGCTTCTTTTGGGGTCCCCAGGGGACATTAGGGGTCCTAGAGACCCCTGTCTCCATAAAGAGGACCTGTCAGTGTGCCATTGCTATTATATAGGGGGATTGTTATCCCCCTATATAATAGCAATAACAATAAGTGCAAAAAAAAATGGCCAATTTTGGGTATTATCGTTTTTTTGAGGTTTCGCGCGCGCATGCAATTTTAAGGCTTGACATGTTTGGTGTCTTTTTACCCGACGTGACCCCGTCTTTTATATTTTACCAAAAAATTGGGTAATAATAAATGTTTTATCATTTAATATAGGGGAAACTGTTTTTTGTTTTTTATTTCGGTAATTTTTCCTTAATATAGTAAAAAATTAAACCCGCATTGAATAAATACCACCAAAAGAAAGCTCTATCTGTCCCTAAAAAATGATATAAAATTCATTTCAGTACAGAGTTGCATGACGGAATAAATGTCAGTCAAAGTACTGCAGCGCTGAATACTGAAAAATGGCCTGGGTGGGAAGGGGGTTTAACGGCCAAATATATAAAAAAAAAGAAAGAGTCGCACACTCTAATATTTAATTGGACTGCCTTTAGCTTTGATCACGGGACACATTCACCGTGGTATTGTTTCAAGAAGCTTATGCAATGTCATAACATTTATTTCTGTCCAGAGTTGCATTAATTTTTCACCAAGATCTTGCAGTGATGATGGGAGAGTCAGACCTCTGTGTAAAGTCTTCTCCAGCACATCCCAAAGATTCTCAATGGGGTTTATGTCTGGACTCTGTGGTGACCAATCCATGTGTGAAAACGGCGTCTCATGCTCCCTGAACCACACTGTCACAATCTGAGCCCAATGAATCCTGGTATTGTCATCTTCTAATATGTCCATGCCATCAGGGGAAAAAAAAAAATAATTGATGGCAAAACCTGGTCAATTACTATATACAGGTAGGCAGCTGACCTCATTTTTGGGGGGACAAAATGTTACTGAACCTAAACCTGACCAACTGAAGCAACAATCTGGGGTTGCTTCAGTTGTCCAAAATCCAGGTGGAGACATTTTTGTTTTTGGCTGGGCAGTGTATTAAAAGCAGACCTTACTAACCATTCATTGTGGTTGTGACCATTCCCTCCCTCCTCTCTATTTGTTCTGTTTGGTAACAAAACTAAGAAAGAAGGTAAACTTTGTAAAATTGCCCCTCCACCCTCCCACTTTCTCTAAGAGAGAGTGATGTACAGTCAGCTGCCTGCAGCTTCCTGGGATACTCGGGTCACTCAACCATGGAGGCTGTAGGTCGGTAAGTGCCACAGTATTGCGAGATCTCTGCTATGCAATTGCAAAATCTTGTGATACTTTGGCACTTACTGACCTACAGCCTTTTGAAATGTGTGACATGAATGCCCCAGGGAGTAGAGGAACAATATTAAACTATTTACAGGCCACATAACAAGAACATTCTTAGAAAATGCGTAATAGAGAGGAGGGAGGGAATGACAGGCCTGTGTGTGTCATCATCAGAGTTAGACTGTTGCACCATGGCCAAGGATATTTAAGTTATGGTCAAATACTTAAGCTACTCTGCCTTTCATTGGCTGCATGCTTGTTCCAGGTTAGTGTGTTGAAGCCAGACCAGAAGTATTCACAGAAGGAAGCCAGCAATGGCGGGCTCGTATTTTCTGTCATGACAGGTGCACTTTAAAGCCTTTTGATGAAGTAAACAAACTACAAAGCATATGTCTTAAGCATTATTACCTCCCAGAATGTGTTCCAATTGCTACTACTATTCCGCTAGGATGGAAATCGGCACAGTGTCCAGGCTCCTGCAGACGGGGGGAAAAAAACAAACCACCCTGAGATTCATATCTACAACTGCCCATGAGCATACAAGGATGGCAAGAAAAATAATTATGTTAAAATATATGTCTTCTCCGGTTTACACACCAGCATATCATATCACATATTATATGGGCAGCACAGTGGCTTAGTGTTTAGCAGTCCTGCCTTGCAGCACTAGGGATGCCCGGTTCGAATCACGATCTGGACGCTATCTGCAAGGAGTGTGTTCTCTCTGCACTTGCATGGGTTTCCTCTGGGTACTTCGGTTTCCTCCCACACTCCAAAGACATGCTGGAAGGTTAATAGCCCCTGTCTAAATCAGCCCTGTATGTATGCATGTGATAAAGGAACCTTAGATTGTAAACTCCTTGAGGGCAGGGACTTATGTGAATGCGCACATGTAAAGCGCTGCGTACATAGTCTGTGCTCTATAAATACCGATAATAAAAAATAAATAAATATCTGCATGTGCAGAGGGCCTCAAAGCTAAATTTTCAATCCATCCGACAGCCTTTCACCTCTCTCTCCCCACACAAGGTTGGCAGTGTCTGCTTCGTTTTGGGGTGCCCTGTACACTGCTGACTGCCACATGGTTCCCATTGAAATCAGATAACTGGGTTCTAACATCGAAAAGGGACTGCAAACGGACTAGCCATTATCTACGCTCTTAAAAGTTGTAGATTCCCCTTTGTACATCAATGGCCAAATTCAGTACTGGTGTCATGAAGGATTCAGTGATCAGCTCACCAGCGTTTACTCTATTCTCCTCAATTGCTTAGACGGTTAGGCCACAGCCAAGCCTACACATTACTAATCCCAAATAAATCATGTATCTACTTTGCTAACAAAGTTCACACTTCTGTCCTGATTTTTTTTTTCTCTGCCAGCTCAGGATCAGGGTTTTACCTGAATTATCTGCTCTCCATATTTATAAAGCAGGGGACAGTTTTTTGAAGAACAAAAAAAAAAAACTAAGGAGAAATCACTGGCAATAATAACTGCCAAGCTTTTTTGCGAGATTCTACACATACAGAAAAAAAAGTAGTTACTGACCTTTTTCTAAATTTGTATACACTATTGCAGTTTCACTGGTTTAGAAAATCACAGGAAACTCCAGGGAACTCAAAGCAAATTTGAGGTTTGCCCATTCTGTTATTCCTCCCTCCAGCCACAAAAGCATACATTATACTTGGCTTTCCTTCACTTCCCTGCCTCTCTGTGCAGCAAAGGGAGCAAAAAGAAATAGTCAGTTCTTATGGTTATGGAGGAGCATGCGACTCACTCCACATGACAGCGATTGGTCAAATTGCTGCGGTTACAGACCTGCAACCAGCTAACACAGGGCTAGCCTTTCACTTTGAACGCTGAAAGGCTCGTGATGGGATTGAATGGAAGGCAAGTATATGCATCTTTGCAGGTTTGCATTACCTAGTTCCCTCCTAAAGCTATTTTTTATTTTTCGTACATATGTAAAAGTCAACATTTTTACCTAGAAAAAAAAAAACCTTAAAACTCCCAAAACATCATATTATTGCTATTTCTATTAAACTTAATTTTTTCCCCAACTTTATTGCTATCAAAAGGGGATAACAAGCCCCCTATGTGATAGTGTTGGGTGAGAGGTAGTCTTTATTGAGACATCGGGGGTCTATTAGACCCTAATGTCAACCCTGTCATCTGCTCCAGCTCATCAAACACAGACTGTCATTACGTTTTATAAAGAGTCCCCACAGGATTCCCAATTTAAACAGAATGTTTCTTCAAAACTTTCTTTAAATTTTCGACTGTGAGAAAGATACAAAATGTTTCAGCAGCAATTACAGTACTCACTTCTAGCAGTCTGGTCCATTCTAGTGTATGGTCTACAGAGTTCCACAAACAGACCTGCTTGTCCTGAGCACATGTTAAGAGCAGATCCTTGAAGGGGTGGGTTGCCAGTCCCCATAGCTCATCTGTATGACCCTATAGGAATAAAAACAAAAATAATAAACACATCATAACTACATAACAGGGAATGAAGTAACACTGTGTCTTAGTGGTTAGCACTGTGTCCTTCTAGCCTGAGTACCAGTCTAGTACCCACCAGGGAACCAGGGAGACCATCTTTTTTGAGTTTCCATAACTTTGTGCAGGTTTTTTTTTAAATGAAAATCATACTAGTAGATTCATTGACTTGTGATTAAACTGATACATGTACATGTGTGTGCTTGTATGAATGTGCCAAATTCATAAGGTAGTTAGGAATGATCTGACTGGTTTGATAGACTTATTAAATGTGATGATGGCACAGACTTGAGAGAATATACAGCTAATTCAGCAGGGAAGTGGCACACCATATTTACCTGAACTTCCACCTGAAAACCATCATTAAAAGTGCCTCGCAAAATGAAATTCCGAGATGTGCCAACTAAGAACTGGTCGGCTTTGCCTTCAGCCACCGCTCTGATGGTGCCATATTGATCTGGAACCTGTAAAATATACACAATTAAAAAAAATCTATATATCAAATATCCATTAAACAAAACACAATGATTTCTAATAACTCCATTTTAAAGAGACCCTGTCAGCATAGGGTCACTTGTACGTACAATATACCTGCAAAAAGATGACTGCATATACTTGCCTTTCTATCGACCAGTTTCTTGAAAAGCCAACGCTCCACAACTTACTGTTCTTATTTAGCGTTTGACTGGTCAGATGGCTCGCATACCTGTCTTCCCTGACGCTCACTCAGGTTTCTCACGCTGGTTAGTACGTACTGTACCAAGTTATGGGCCAATGGCAGAATGCACTGCGAGCAGTGAAGCAGGGTATTCACACACCTGTACAGGACCAATGAACAGTAACCGTGGATTTTCCTAAAATAGGCCACTGAAAGGAAAGTATTTGCAGTCTTTTTTGCAGGTATGTTTTACATTCAACCCTATGCTGACAGTGTTACTTTTTTGAAAAGCTGTTAAGGGTGCGCAGAGACTGAACATAGAGGAGGTGGAAATAGTCTCTTGAACCATCCGCATCATTGCTGGAAGGTCTGACCAGAGCCTGCCTCTGTAAGCCTGGGAAGCAAACACACAATTCTAATTAGTGTTTATGTTGGCTGCTTTAAGATAGAACTAAAACACATTTTCAAATGGTCACTTCCCTGAACGTCCATCTGTCCTCTATTTACGGCCAGGTTTGTAAATACAGGAACAATACACCTGAAAGGTATTTCATCACTGTTATAGAATCATCAATAATTATAATAGTGCTAAACCTAAACCACACTTATTCTCAAGGAACTTATGAGAAAAGTCATGGAAAGCCAGGAAGGATGGCTTTGCTTATAAAAACAGGCATCTGCTCGGTGATTGATATGTCATACTTTATAAAGCCATTAAAAAGCAGACATTGATTAACCCCTTCATGACTCGTATCGCAGCGCTGAACACTGAAAAATGGCCTGGCCAGGAAGGGGGTCTAAACACCTGGTCTTGAAGTGGTTAAACAGCCCCGATGCTGGCGACGTACACTGTACGTCAGTCACGAAGGGGTTAAATGAAAGGCATATGACCGCCTGAGAAGACAGAGCTCAATGGCGGCACGTCTTCAGATAAGCTGGAGCTTAGAAGCACTTCCTAAATGTAATTTCCAAACTCTGCAACTAGGTCATTAGCTAATTAAGAGAAAAGCTTCTTATAATTATAAAAAATGCAATCTTTGGCAAATAAAAAAGACTGAGCATTTAATGGATGAAATATGAGGATTTCCTTCATCCAAATAAACAAAAAACTTTCTAAATGATTTTGTGTGAGATGTTGTATGTTAAGCATAGCACACGTCCTCTTTCGGGACTGGTTAACTGCTGTCTGTACTAACGCAACTCCTTCACCCGTGCCTTGGCCACATAACCTTTTATGTAGCTGCCAAACAAGAAGCAAGGGCAATATTTTAGAGCAGTGCCCAAACTGTGCCCCATGGACTAGATCATTATTTACTATCAGTGAGCAATGACGCCGGTACATTTTCTACTCCCACTGTCCACAGCCTGGCACTGTTAAGTGTGAAAGGAAGCAAACCGGGCCTTGGCTTGGAAAGTGTGAAGACTCTTGTTATAGAGCAGGGGTGGGCAAACCCTGGCCCTCCAGCTGTGGTGAAACTACAAATCCCATAATGCACCTGTCTCTGGGAGTCATATCTGTGAGAATCGTGCAATGCTTCATGGGATTGGTAGTTTTACCACAGCTGGAGGGCCAGAGTTCGGCTACCCCTGTTATAGAGTGTCAACATGGAGTTTGCTGGGGCTGGTGACATCACATCCTAGAGAGCAGTGCCCAGCAGCAGTGTCAGGTTTTTTGGATTATGGATTTACATATCTTGACTTCTTCCTTAACCCTCCTACATTGCAAATAATTACATAGATCAGCCGGTGTTCTTACCTCAATCTCTCTCTCAGGGGTAAGATCGTGATCCCACATAATAATTTTCCTGTCCTTGCCACCTCCCGTAAGCAGCATACCGTTTCTCATCTGACACAGTGTGAAGACGCTGCCATCATGAGCTTTGAGCTGCTTACTTATTTGGTAGACGCCTGAAACATACAATTATTACTCAGTACAGCAATAACACATTCCCCAAGCACTCGCACTAAACATGGAACCACTCCAGTTTTCATTTCCGGAAGATTCAAACAATGGCTTTCTTGCCTGAGAAAAGTTTATTTTCTACAATTGCTTGATTAAATTAGTATGTAGCATAAATCCCGGGAGATGTGAAGAGAAATGCCGAGCCTCTGGATGGGTTTTACAATATTTTGATTTTATAGATTGTGCTGCAAAAACAGGAAATGCAGGCATTCTGAAAATTCTTTTGGAAGTGACTAATGGTCCTCAGTTCCTTGTTCTCTGTGCCCTGAGCTATTGAATTCATAAGCCAGGAACAGAAATATTTTTTTATAAGGTAGGTCTAGTGGCCAAATCTCTGACACAATGTTCTTGCAGTGAGAGTGAGATTGCATTGAGGTTACAGACACTAATGCTTGCTAATTAGAATGAGATTGACTGGTCTGAAACCAAACAGCCACTCAAGATGCACTCATCAATATTTGTTCCAAGCTCTCTCTCGTGCTGAAATGTACTGCGTAGACTATCACTAAAGTGTTTAGAAATTCTGTGAATTACAGTAAATAGTTCAATAAGCAGTTATGTGGATTCAGCCCACTGTATTCTGCATAGTTTCCTGGCCAATCACAATCGAGTCGGCCACACATGGAGCTCCATGCCAGCGGAAGCACCGGTATCAGTACTTGGAATCGGCGAGTATCGAAAGCAAAATATCGGCACTTACTTGAAAAAACGGTATAGCTGCATCCCTACTTTGAAGCAAACCTTTAAGTACCTTTACCACGCATGAACCAAGCAGCCCTCTCCAGGGTGCCAAAACATGAAAATTTAAACACTGCCCAACTGTGTTGACATCTTGCCTATCTTCTGAGGGAGGCAAGAAAAACAGCTGGGACTTCTGGGAATTTGGGAGGGACTCCCCTTTTTTCCAAGTGACAGGACTGGTGCTTTGTGGGGTAAGTATAAGCAGCTGATGGGACTATCATTAATGTTATCCTCTTGCTTTGTCCTACAGGTTCACTTTAACTCTTATGTGACCAGTTTTTTCTTTAAGCTTAGATGTCCAGACCAAGTTTAGCAGCATTGGCATGTGTAAGTTAACTTGACTTCATCTAAGGACTGGTAAGATGCAATGTATTACATTTTTAGGTTTAGACATATGTTAGGAGGAAATTTTCCAGTATTCTAGCGGAAAGCTTCTTGGTTCATTTGGCCCCACTCATCATAACTTGATTGGTTATCTTGTCGCAATGGTCCATAAAAAAATACATTTCTTGCAAAATGACTCAACCTGAACAGAAGTAACAGGGGAACACAATAAATGTTATCTGATACAGTGCAGGCTTTGTTTTCTAGGGCAGCAAATTAATTTGCTCCTCGTTTCCATCAGGTAATACTCTCCACAGTGTTTGCATGATGAGCACTGTTCATCGGGTGCCAGGCATATTAATGGCATTAAAAGAGAAAACACCTAATGACTCATTGCTATTAAGCCTTCAAATAATTGCTCTAGTTCTCTGAACAATTATTGAGACATTTAGCTGAACGCCAAGTGGGGATTTAAAAACAATTAAAACGTTAGGAGTGGTACTGAGACAAGCTTTAAGCATTCTGGATAACCTTTTAAATATCACCACTCCCACAACTTGGTACGCTTCAGTATTCTAGAAGACTGATAGGTGATAGTCACTACCACCCCGATGGCATAACATCTTGTCAGGACCACCAGCAAAAGATGCATTAGTCATATCCAAGAGCAGCAGTGACTTTTATTGCCGCTTGCTCTATCCAGTTCAGCCCAGCGGGATTATCCCAGCGAACACCTGGACGAGGATAGACTCACCTTTTACTCCTTTACCCGCTGTGGATTCCACTGGAGTTTTGCTCCAGATCAACATTGTGCCTCCTGAATCTCCAGCAAGCACATCACCATTGGCTAGGAAGGCTAAGCACTGAACAAACTTTGGTTTCTCATATTTCTGAAACACAATTGTTGATATGATTAGACAGTTCTTGTTGTTCACCAAATAGTTTCCAGAGTCACAAAGAATGATTAAGGAATATCTAAAGCTAAAACATTTCTTTTTATTGAAGAGTAGGGAATGGTTAAAAATCCTAGTTGTCTTTTTTCTATCTGTGCCCCACTGTGGAGATTTCCCAATACTTCCTGCTCTGAAGAAACAATAGGATGTTAAGCAGGGGAAGTAAGAAAAAGCTCCCAGAACAATTGTCCCCAGTGGAAAGATTCCTCTGTTCTGGTGACAACCTCCTTTGTTTTAAGGCCAAGTGATCATGGTCACCAGGACAGGGATAGTGAACCCTCCCTCCAACGAGGATGCAGACACCAATGAAAACTTGACCTCATCATTCTATTCCCAAAGTTTAAAAAGAGAAACCGAAAAAAAAAAAGTTGGCACAGCATCTCACCAATTCATAATGAATGGCACAGCATCTGCGCACCCCTCTCATCCAGTTTTCACTTTGTTACTAGGGCTTAGAACATCCCAACTTCAGGAATAAGACACACCACTGGAGCTAAGCCCTACACATCTATCATCCTTCTGTGCAATTACAATAAGAGCAACTGGAGAGCTTACACTGAACTGAAATCAGAAGACCGCACAGAGGAAGCATTTTTGGCTAATAACAGCATGCAACTAATAACAGCATGTAACTTGTTGTGTCTGCTTTTTGGCAGGACTTTTACTTCTAACATAATACAATGGCTGATCGGGTGTCTTTAAGCACATTACAAATAAATGTCAGTGAATACTATTCACAGAATTTACAATTTCGCATAATAAAAATGAAGCAATAAATACAGAATAACATCACTAAATAAATGTCATACAGCGACTTAAATAAAAAGTGGCAAAAAATGCATCTCCTGCAAAGAAGATGGTGAATACTCACCTCTTCAGATGCCTGCATCGATGATTTCTGCTATATTCAAGCAAAACCGCTGTCTGCATTACGTTCAGGATCCAACACTTCTGGGAGTGTTGGATTTCTAATGCTCCCCTATGTGCTGTGGTTCCTCCCACTAACCACTATGCCACTTCTGCGCAGGCATTGGGAGAGGTGAGCATCTACTTGCAGGAGACTGTATTCACTTTTATGTTAGTGATATAGTTGCATTAAGCTGGATTAAAAATATACCACTTTAGAAAATAATTCATCCTGCTAGCACTTTATGATCTCCATTTACCCCAAAATATCTAGTTTCACAGTAACAGGTGCATCAGGGAAACAATAATAAATACTTTAACAAACTGACCGTCTACCTACCCCAAAGATTCCTTGTTTTCTCGCCAAAGAATTGCCATTCCAAGTCCAGAAAAAGATGTGCGACTTGCCACAGGTCACTATTGTACTGGGGTCAGTCGGGTGGAATTCGACTGCCAAGACCACCTCATTTGTAGTCTACAAATAAGTCAATAGTACCGTTTATAATACATAATGTACATACTACAAACAAACAGGTTTAATGGTAATGGTAAGCAATGTAATAAAAGCTATCCTCGTGTTCAGCTTCCAGGCTCTTCACATGCGCCATAAACAAATTACCGTAATAAAAATAGTGGGAACCAGTCAAACTTAAAAGTATAACTATAGGATAAAGAAGCAAACATGTAACTCAGTGTAAACAGTAAAGATACATGTCTTTGTTTACCTTCGAATTCCTGTTAAAATGCACAAAAACATTTTAATCCTGGCATCCGAAGCCTACTTTCATAATTTCCTCTCTTCATGAGAGGACACTTAAGCACCCATCCAATAGCTGTTGTCACCCTTTCGCGTTGGCTGGCCTTCCTGAAACTACAGCGTGATATGGGAACATCAGAGTCCCACTCTCCACTGACTAATCCCACATAGCTCTGTGGTTCCAGCTCCAAAAGTCTGACATACAGAGTTTCACAGCTCACTCCTCTTCATTCCCGACCATGTTCTGCAAAGGAGATGGACTCCTGATTGACAGCTCTTTTCTTACTGTCTCTGCACTTTCCCAACACAAAACAAGGCTCCCCCTTCCAGTTCTACTGCCCATGCTGATTACTGCAACAGCATGCCACCTTCCCCTGCGTTCTTGTGACCACATTAGATAAGAGCTGTCAATCAAGAGGCCGTCTGTCTCCTTTGCAGGGCGTGGGGGAAAGAAGAGGAGTGAGCTGTCAAAGTCTGTATCTCAGTTTCTCCCTCACACAGAAACATTGGAGAAAAAGCAACATATTCTGTGGGAGCTGTGAAAAAATAATACAAGATGAAACTTTAAAGTTCAATTCTAGTGATTTATATGAAATAGTCCCCCAATGGAGGTTTAAAATCGGATTACAAAATAAATAAAGCTCCAGTTGCAATATTCGCCTACACTTCAGCACTGTCCCCTGCAGTAATTCTATTCCACCACCTGATGTCTCTGGCCCACTGGGTTGAATGAAGCCCAGTGTCACAGAAGCCGGTCATCATAGTTCAAGTGGTACTTGGCAAGGGACAGAACAACCTGATATAATACCAAGATCATATGATCATTGAACCCAAACCAGGTATGCAAAGCCTGGAAATTAAGGGGGGGGGGGCTTTTAAGAAACATAATTGCTCCCACAAAAAGTGAACTTAGTAAAAATGTCAAAATATATTTATTGTAGCAATTGATTAAAACTAGGGATGCACCGATACCACTTTTTAAAGACCGAGTACGAGTAGCGATACTTTTGATCAAGTACTCGCAGATACCAATTACCGATACTTTTTCTTAAAGGGACAGGTCACATTTTTTCTAAAGCAATACAAACTAATGCTTTAAGGTCACTTTCTTAATATTAGGATTCATGAGATGACGAGGGAGCATGACGCTGGCTTCCCGGCCAATCAGAATGCCGGGCGCTGCGTCCTTACACAGCGCCGGCTTCCGGATTTACTAGCTTCCTGACCAATCGGGAAGCCGGGCAGCAAGTCATTGCACGCTACCCGGCAACCTGATTGGCCGGGAAGTCGGCTCCATGCTCTCTCATCACAAGTGACGAGAATGCATGGAGCCATTTCCTGTCCAATCAGGAAACCGGGCAGCGTGCAATGATGCGCTGCCCGGCTTCCTGATACAGGAAGTACTCGTGCTAGGTATCGGAGCATTTGGGCGAGTACGAGTACTCACCCAAATACTCGGTATCGGCACCGATACCAGTATCGGTATCGGTGCATCCCTAATTAAAACCATAAATTGTCAAAAAAGAGACACAGAATGCATACAACAAAATAATACATGGCCCTGATACAATAGAGTAAGATGTTGCAGTGGTCTGGTTGATCACAAGAAGATTAACACATGATGTTGTTCTCTAGGTCCCTCAACACATTTTGCTGAATAATGGCTTCCTCAAGAGGATTTCAGTCCTAGAAGATTGCAAGTTGTTGCGGAACAGCCGAGACATGAACCAATTGACAGCAAAGGCCAGGACCTCAAACCCCTATACACCAGGGAAGGGGGGCCGTTGAGGGAAGAAGGCAGCGAAGAGAGGGGAGAAAACGAAGGAAGGAAATAGGAACAAACCGTGTTCCAAGTCTCCAGTGGTACAACACACTTCGCTCCATCCAAAGCAGTGCATACCCCTCAAGTGTCACTCACAAGGGGTCAGAACAACCTGTTAAACACTTCTTTTCCATCTTTTGTGAATAGAGCCTAAAGTTTTACATTGCATTAATTAGTTAGAACACTGGCCATTACCTTTATCTCAGCTACTTTTGACTTCTTCTGCCAGTCCCACACGGTCAGCATATGCTCATTGGAGTCGTCGATCACCGCCAAGTGTGACCCAGAGTCCTTTAAAGAAAATTAATAGCATCTGTTAAGGCTTGCATAAGGATTCCACAAAGACTTCACCTATGTGGACAACATTGACAAAAGGGGGGCAGAACAGGCGAGACACAGTACTGGAAATTACAAAGGGCTAGATTTATTTTTAGGGGTTTATTTACATATCACCTGTGCATGATGGCATCTACTATTTTTGATTATACACTCAGATGTTTTGAAGTAAATTTTCCAATAATTTACAGGGGGAAACAAATTAACAAATCAGCTGAATGGCTCAAAAAAGAATCAATTACGGTAAATAGCCTTCTGACAATGGAAATATTAAGCAAAGTCTATGAGGTGAAGTAAGGTTCCTATTATACTTTAAAATATATTTTTAATTAAAGTTACAGGAAAACCAATTTTACTTTGAAATCTGTTCAAAAACGAAAACCTGCGGAAATGAAATACCAAAGAGGGTCTCGATTGACACCAGGACTGCTTTCCAGAAGCGCATGTGTATTTCTAAGTTTACATTTTAAGTACTTTTTTCCACTAATAATAAAAAACTGTCATAACTGGGTTCCACACATGCCATTTTAACCTCGCTTATACCCTACGGAATAATGAGACCTGCCATACAGTAAATGAACTTTGTCTGCCAGCAAAGACCAATGTACAGGTGAGATTCTCATATCACCTCAGACTAGCACAGGAATAATGATGGCCATACACATAGCAAGTGTTTCCCTATAATTACCTTATGGTACAAATCAATGGCACTAAATATGCACTTTAATCAGTAACGTTTTTTTTTTTTAAATGGTGCTGCTGGAAATGTGACCAATGTTTTCGTCTGATCGACTGATTGGATGACGAGCCAATATCCATTGGGCTCCTTTGTAAAGTGCCTAGTGAGGCCTATCAAGATGTTTTTGGTATGACAATGGTCCTCAAATATGGTATTTTGGTGGGCTGAAATTTGGGGAAAAGCTGCCATTTTAATACATCTACACTTAAAACAAAACTGCAGTGAACTAATACCACTTGCACGTTTCTCTTACTACATAGTGTATATGTAATATTTTACCACTTTTGAGAAATCCAGACATCCGACTCCTCGTTCAAAGGTTCCAAGGCCAATAACTTGCAATGTAGATAAACTGACAGAGTCCCAGACTCTCACATGAGGTTGTAAAGGCTGCAAAATACATGCACATGGATGGATTAAATAAGTGAAGCAATGAAAAGACATCATGTACATTGACCCGTAGGCTAAGGTGAAATATTTTGATGTTAAAAAAATATAATAAATTCTGGAGTTTTTTCAAAGCAAGCAAAGTGCAGCAATGCATAATAATTCAGTTTTAATTGTGACTGCTCTAAACTGACAAAATGTAAAATAGGTTGCTATACTTTACAAATTATTGCTTGGCTGGCTTTTTTATTAAGCTTGTGGTTTGAATGAGCTTTAAAGAGAACCAGTCAAACTGGGTTTATCTAATTATGAGCATTAAAGTGAACCTGTGCTTTGCCTATTTAGTACAGGCAACAGATTCACTTTAACACAGACCCACCCAGCAACATTGTTTCATTACAGTCACTCTTTTCAGCTTCTGGGAATGAGGGGAAATCCCTGGGTAAGCTAGGTGTTGCTGAAGTCATAGCATACACAGGGTTCAGGACTCCCCCCTGTGGGACAATGCTGATTGGCCCATCTCTGTCAACTGGAGAGAGTCACGTGCTCCTCCATACCTGGAAGTACCAGATATTTCCACTAGCCCCTGCCTATAAACAGTGGTGGGAAAGTGAAGCAAAAGTGAGTATATGTTGCTGGTGGAGAGAATAAATCAAACCTGCTGCTGAATTGGAAAATGACAGATTGGATTTTTAATTTTGACAGATTGTCCCTCCTTATTTAGCTATACATATTATGCCTGAGCCTGGCACATTAGATAAAGTGTCTAGCTTCTACAGCAGAATGTAAAAGTTCTCTCTCAGGTCCGCTCCTCTGCTTAGTGGGTGGGTGCAATAGCAAGCCTGCTATTGGTTATTGCAATTTGAAATAGACAATAGCAGGCAGGCTATTGCTCTCCATTGTTTACATTCTGCTGCCGACCGCTGAATCTAGCTGGCGGCGGCAGCAAGATGTAAACAAAGAATTTAGTTAAAGACTAAATAAATGTAGTTGCAAATAAAAAATATATTAGTGTGCAGCAAACAACCAATTTTTTAGTGTGCATCAAGCCACCGGGGAAAAATAAATATATATAAATAAATTTTTTTAAAAAGTAAAAAAAAAATCGACATATTACGAATATCAACGTATTTAATGTAATATATTGTGTACGTGACCTATAGTCATCTATAAATGAAAGGATACTTTTAACAATGATATGTACCTCAGCTCAGACCTGGAAAAGAAAAGATTGTACAAGCACTCACCCTTCCATCTTTGTCAACACCAGCAATCTGTCCTGTTGCAATTCTAATCTTGTCTGGATGAACAGCAATGCTAGAGGAAAAAAAAACCCATTAAAAGTACTGAACTGTTTAGAATAGACAACTAGCAAGTATAATTTTAGGGGTGTGCACATAGTCCTACCATTTAACACAATCTGTGTGACCGAGATAATGGCGCTGAGTCCTCTCATCGTAATTGAACAGTACAACAACAGATGCTATGAAATAGACAATTTCTCCGGTAGGGAGAAGGTAAACATTGGCTCGACAGTCTCTCCCGCGGTAACCATATCTTCACAACCTTCTGTTAAGGTGAACATACCTCTAGCTTTACAGAAACTATATTACATACGGATGAAAGAAATTCAATTTTTTATTGACTGTTGTAGCAGCAATTTATCTGTGTAATAAAAGGAACATATATTTTATTATTTACAAAATTCTACATCACGATTACAAATATACAACTTGTTTCTCAGGCCACGTGTTATCGCTTATGTGCCTTCTGAAACAAGTACAAGTCTAACCATCATTCCTCTATGCAATGTGCAGAAATTCTACAACCTACTCTGAGAGTAGCAGTTTAAGTTTGGCACCTGTACTCTATGGAAGAAGCCGCCGCAGGAGAACTTCCGCCAGTTTCAAGAGACAACATAAATGTATACATGTTTTGCAGCTGTCTGGACACTTAAATCGAAGAGCAATAAGAAAAGATCTCGGTGTCATTGAACGTTAAATTCTCCTGAGGCAAACCCCTTTCATTTCACCATGTAAAAAGTAAAATATAGATCCAGGAAACGACTTCTTGGCAAAACTGATAAAGTGAATGATACTTTTAGAGCTCCAGGCCATCCCTTAAGGCCAAATGGCTGAAACGATATAACTGGCATTGTTAAAATCATCTGATTTGTGATTCTGTTCGAGGCTTCAAAAGAATTCAAAGCCATATAGACTTTGGTAGGGATGTCCCGATACCGATGCTAGCTTCGGTATCGGTGAAAATGCCCCAGTACATAACGCCGATGCTTACACATCGGTGTTGATTTCGTATTGCCCGAAGCCCGGGACATATAGTTCCAGGCGCCGGGCAAGCGAGAGCAGGGGGCGTGGAGCGGTGACGGCGGGGGGCGTGGAGCAGTGACAGGGCAGGGTGCGTAGAGCAGTGACAGGGCAAGGGGCGTGGAGCAGTGACAGGGCAAGGGGCGTGGAGCAGTGACAGGGCAAGGGGCTGCAATGCTAGAGGAAAAAAAAACCCATTAAAAGTACTGAACTGTTTAGAATAGACAACTAGCAAGTATAATTTTAGGGGTGTGCACATAGTCCTACCATTTAACACAATCTGTGTGACCGAGATAATGGCGCTGAGTCCTCTCATCGTAATTGAACAGTACAACAACAGATGCTATGAAATAGACAATTTCTCCGGTAGGGAGAAGGTAAACATTGGCTCGACAGTCTCTCCCGCGGTAACCATATCTTCACAACCTTCTGTTAAGGTGAACATACCTCTAGCTTTACAGAAACTATATTACATACGGATGAAAGAAATTCAATTTTTTATTGACTGTTGTAGCAGCAATTTATCTGTGTAATAAAAGGAACATATATTTTATTATTTACAAAATTCTACATCACGATTACAAATATACAACTTGTTTCTCAGGCCACGTGTTATCGCTTATGTGCCTTCTGAAACAAGTACAAGTCTAACCATCATTCCTCTATGCAATGTGCAGAAATTCTACAACCTACTCTGAGAGTAGCAGTTTAAGTTTGGCACCTGTACTCTATGGAAGAAGCCGCCGCAGGAGAACTTCCGCCAGTTTCAAGAGACAACATAAATGTATACATGTTTTGCAGCTGTCTGGACACTTAAATCGAAGAGCAATAAGAAAAGATCTCGGTGTCATTGAACGTTAAATTCTCCTGAGGCAAACCCCTTTCATTTCACCATGTAAAAAGTAAAATATAGATCCAGGAAACGACTTCTTGGCAAAACTGATAAAGTGAATGATACTTTTAGAGCTCCAGGCCATCCCTTAAGGCCAAATGGCTGAAACGATATAACTGGCATTGTTAAAATCATCTGATTTGTGATTCTGTTCGAGGCTTCAAAAGAATTCAAAGCCATATAGACTTTGGTAGGGATGTCCCGATACCGATGCTAGCTTCGGTATCGGTGAAAATGCCCCAGTACATAACGCCGATGCTTACACATCGGTGTTGATTTCGTATTGCCCGAAGCCCGGGACATATAGTTCCAGGCGCCGGGCAAGCGAGAGCAGGGGGCGTGGAGCGGTGACGGCGGGGGGCGTGGAGCAGTGACAGGGCAGGGTGCGTAGAGCAGTGACAGGGCAAGGGGCGTGGAGCAGTGACAGGGCAAGGGGCGTGGAGCAGTGACAGGGCAAGGGGCGTGGAGCAGTGACAGGGCAAGGGGCGTGGAGCAGTGACAGGCTCTGTCACCTCCCTCAGCCTCTGTCCCCGGCTCGTTCTTGTCACAGGAGTTCTAGCAGAGTGCTGTGCTAGAACTCCTGTGTTGGAGGTGACAGGGCCAATACAGAGTACCTGTCACTTCCAAATGCTATCACACAAGGGTTTGTTAGCCCATGTGTGATAGCAATAAAGTTAAGTGAAAAAAATAGTTAGGAAAAGTTAAAAAAAAAACTGATTAAAAATGTAACTAAAAAAAAAAAAAGACAATAAAAAGGTAAAAATAATAAAATAAATTAAAAATGTTTACAAAATAAATAAAAATTGAAAAAATGAAAACCAGCCCCGCAGCCCCCATGTGCATTAGAATAAACGCACAGTGTTTTCAACCGCGATCGTGTGCAACCGCACAGGCCGGGTATTGCGGCAGGAAACTGCACAATCTGCCTGGCACGACTGGGGTGCCATTAGAAAATAATGGCACTGCCAAAGCGATCGGCGGTGGTGTGCAATCCGTGACCGCCCGGTCATCGTGCACAAAACCGAGCAGATGGCTGGGCGGTCATGGAATCGCACACCACCGCCGATTGCGCTGGCAGTGCCATTATTTTCGAATGGCACTCCATTTGCGCCAGGCAGATTGTGCGGTTTCCCGCCACAATACCGCCTGGGCGGTCCCACACGATCGCAGTTGAAAACATGAATAGGTTAAATGTTTTATTGTTCTAAAACAGTGTTAAATTAAAGTTCTTCATAATCATAAACAAATTGGCCTAAAATCATTAGTCTATTGTTTTTTTAAATGTCATCTGTCCCTTTAAGAAAAAGCATCGGTAATTGGTATCGGCAAGTACATGAGGGGGAAGTACTTGTAATAAAAAAGAAGACATCCCTAGACTTTGGCTATTCATATCTTAGGCAGGAAAGGGTCCTGTGAGTCTAACATGTTTAAAATGCTTTGTTTTTCTTTATTGAAAGTAATCGCAGAATACAGTAATACCTTGGTTTACAAGTAACTTGGTTTGAGAGTGTTTTGCAAGACAAACAAAAATTTTGCCTTGATATACAAGCGACATCTTGCAATAAGAGCAAAATTCTGTAGAAAAGCACCACCCAAATAAGGCTGTAGCAGTGCGTGCGATGACTCTTTTTAACGACACTGCTATGTCACATTGGATAGATTCCTTGTTAAGGTTTCACGAAATGAAAAAGATTCCATTGAGTCAAGAGATGGCAGTGATTGTGTTAGTAATAGTGCAAGTCGCCCTACACAATGATCCTCCTCTCTCTCGTCCCCCTCACACCAGCTACGAAGGTACCTGTAATTGGTTTCTTTATATTTTGTATTATATTACAGTACAGTATTGTAATTTTTATATGAATATTTTTGGGTTGTGGAACGAATCATCTGAATTTCCATTATTTCCTATGGGGAAATTCGCTTTGATATACAAGCGCTTTGGATTACAAGCATGCTTCCGGAACGAATTATGCTCGTAAACCAAGGTATTACTGTACTATCTTCAAGTCACTCCCAACAAAGCTTGCTAGCTAGTACAGGTAAGATAGCACACCACCAACATTGCAACAAAGGCCTCATTCACACTTGTCTCTTGTGGTTTTATGCAGAGATCTGTCTGCAATATCTGTCAGGCTAGATGCAACATGACATGTGTTTATACACTTGTGCTTTTAGATGAATCTGTCCTTTGTCCACTGAAGTAGCCAAAGAAATTTCAGCAAATAGGCACATTTATATGTATTTAGAAGCTCAAATTGTTTCCTGGACGTACCTGACTTTTTTCTAAACGCAGCTAAACTGACTGCATCTAACATTTAAACGCAAGGTGTGAATGGATTCATTGGAAATAAGATGCATTTATATGCGTTTCGAAAACCATTAAAAAGGCATATAAAAGCCCCTAATCACACCCTGATGTGAATGGGGCCTAAGACCACATTTGAAAGATTGTTTCCAAATGTTATTTTGTTTTCATGAATCATACAAAAATGTTACAGAAAAACTGACACAAGGGACCTTCTGATTCTAACATTTTTGGGGCTAGATTAAACCAAACCACATAACCTTTGCGTGCTGCTGCATGCTCAGAGAATGCACTGGTATATCGCAATGCAGTGCTCTGGTTTATATATAATAT